CGCTTACCATCTGGAACTGAGAGCCTTTTCTTGTTGTTTGGCTTGAAAACGAGATGTAATATTTCTTCTTCGGATTGGCTGCTCTTGTCCTGAGGAAGGCTCAGCTCAAGAATTTCAGCTAAGTCATCTTCAACTTTAACAAATTCAATGATTTCGAAGCGAGGGATGCCACATTGTGGGGGGGGAAACATTTTATCTCCAGAGCGCGAGACTGTGTATCGGAATTCTAAAGATAGGCTCATTTAAAATTATTTTGCGACATTGCAGTTGAACTGATTTTATGGTTTAAAGTGCGAAGAACATGATATTTAATAAATAAAAGTAATACACAAAACGTTAAAAAAAACGCCCCTTTGAAAGTAATGTAAAATCTGAAAGCTTTCAGATTTATTTATTTATTTTTTTTTAATGAAGCTTGATTTTTGCTTAGTTTCAAAGGAGTTCATTTCTTTTCTCTTTCCTTCATTATATTTCTTTTTTTCATTTCATTTTCAAACTGCATATGACCTGTATGTTCATTGCAAAGATACTTCCTGTCATGATCAATTTTATTTTCAACTAAATTTTGTAAAAAATTAAGTTATCTTTTGCGTAGTGAAACTTGGAAACTTCGATCAAGCAAGGTAAAACATTGGACAGATAATTAAAGAGAAACAAGCTTTAGTCATTTCAGCTATACCACCATCCGCCTTTGGAAAACGATCTTGCAGTAAAAACGGGCCTAAAATGCAAAACCGTTTTAAAAGGAACTGAATTAAATTATCGAATCGTCTTGTGTTTTTTAACATTTTCAATTTTTAATTTTTTTAAATGTTTCTAAAGATTCCAGCTTATTTTATTCTTCAGAAGCTGTCGTCCTTCTTAATAACGAATTCATGGTTACTATAGCTTCGGTTCTTTTGTATCTGTGCTGGAGAAATACTTATTCATATGTAGTTAACTAGTAATGTATTTAAAGATTTCATGTACAAATATCACGTTCAAAAAGAAAAAAATAATTAAAATAACATTAGAAACGAACAACGTTTCACAATCTGCATTTCAACAAATACGAAGAAAGTATGGTCTGGGAAGAAAGGCGTGTGATATTCGCTTACCATCTGGAACTGAGAGCCTTTTCTTGTTGTTTGGCTTGAAAACGAGATGTAATATTTCTTCTTCGGATTGGCTGCTCTTGTCCTGAGGAAGGCTCAGCTCAAGAATTTCAGCTAAGTCATCTTCAACTTTAACAAATTCAATGATTTCGAAGCGAGCGATGCCAACATTGTGGGGGGGGGAAACATTTTTATCTCCAGAGCGCGAGACTGTGGTATCGGAAATTCTAAAGATAGGCTCATTTTAAAATTATTTTGCGACATTGCAGTTGAACTGAATTTTATGGTTTAAAGTGCGAAGAACATGATATTTAATAAATAAAAGTAATACACAAAACGTTAAAAAAAAACGCCCCTTTGAAAGTAATGTAAAAATCTGAAAGCTTTCAGTTTTATTTATTTATTTATTTATTTTTTTAATGAAGCTTGATTTTGCTTAGTTTCAAAGGAGTTCATTTCTTTTCTCTTTCCTTCATTAATATTTCTTTTTTTCATTTCATTTTCAAACTGCATATGACCTGTATGTTCATTGCAAAGATACTTCCTGTCATGATCAATTTATTTTCAACTAAATTTTGTTAAAAAAATTAAGTTATCTTTTGCGTAGTGAAACTTGGAAACTTCGATCAAGCAAGGTAAAACATTGGACAGATAATTAAAGAGAAACAAGCTTTAGTCATTTCAGCTATACCACCATCCGCCTTTGGAAAACGATCTTGCAGTAAAAACGTGGCCTAAAATGCAAAACCGTTTTAAAAGGAACTGAATTAAATTATCGAATCGTCTTGTGTTTTTTAACATTTTAAATTTTAATTTATTTTAAATGTTTCTAAAGATTCCAGCTTATTTATTCTTCAGAAGCTGTCGTCCTTCTTAATAACGAATTCATGGTTACTATAGCTACGGTTCTTTTGTATCTGTGCTGGAGAAAATACTTATTCATATGTAGTTAACTAGTAATGTATTTAAAGATTTCATGTACAAATATCACGTTCAAAAAGAAAAAAAAAATAATTAAAATAACATTAGAAACGGACAAACGTTTCACAATCTGCATTTCAACAAATACGAAGAAAGTATGGTCTGGGAAGAAAGGCGTGTGATATTCGCTTACCATCTGGAACTGAGAGCCTTTTCTTGTTGTTTGGCTTGAAAACGAGATGTAATATTTCTTCTTCGGATTGGCTGCTCTTGTCCTGAGGAAGGCTCAGCTCAAGAATTTCAGCTAAGTCATCTTCAACTTTAACAAATTCAATGATTTCGAAGCGAGGGATGCCAACATTGTGGGGGGGGAAACATTTTTATCTCCAGAGCGCGAGACTGTGTATCGGAAATTCTAAAGATAGGCTCATTTTAAAATTATTTTGCGACATTGCAGTTGAACTGAATTTTATGGTTTAAAGTGCGAAGAACATGATATTTAATAAATAAAAGTAATACACAAAACGTTAAAAAAAAACGCCCCTTTGAAAGTAATGTAAAATCTGAAAGCTTTCAGATTTATTTATTTATTTATTTATTTTTTTAATGAAGCTTGATTTTTGCTTAGTTTCAAAGGAGTTCATTTCTTTTCTCTTTCCTTCATTAATATTTCTTTTTTTCATTTCATTTTCAACTGCATATGACCTGTATGTTCATTGCAAAGATACTTCCTGTCATGATCAATTTATTTTCAACTAAATTTTGTTAAAAAAATTAAGTTATCTTTTGCGTAGTGAAACTTGGAAACTTCGATCAAGCAAGGTAAAACATTGGACAGATAATTAAAGAGAAACAAGCTTTAGTCATTTCAGCTATACCACCATCCGCCTTTGGAAAACGATCTTGCAGTAAAAACGTGGCCTAAAATGCAAAACCTTTTTAAAAGGAACTGAATTAAATTATCGAATCGTCTTGTGTTTTTTAACATTTTAAATTTTTAATTTATTTTAAATGTTTCTAAAGATTCCAGCTTATTTTATTCTTCAGAAGCTGTCGTCCTTCTTAATAACGAATTCATGGTTACTATAGCTTCGGTTCTTTTGTATCTGTGCTGGAGAAATACTTATTCATATGTAGTTAACTAGTAATGTATTTAAAGATTTCATGTACAAATATCACGTTCAAAAAGAAAAAAAATAATTAAAATAACATTAGAAACGAACAACGTTTCACAATCTGCATTTCAACAAATACGAAGAAAGTATGGTCTGGGAAGAAAGGCGTGTGATATTCGCTTACCATCTGGAACTGAGAGCCTTTTCTTGTTGTTTGGCTTGAAAACGAGATGTAATATTTCTTCTTCGGATTGGCTGCTCTTGTCCTGAGGAAGGCTCAGCTCAAGAATTTCAGCTAAGTCATCTTCAACTTTAACAAATTCAATGATTTCGAAGCGAGGGATGCCAACATTGTGGGGGGGGGAAACATTTTTATCTCCAGAGCGCGAGACTGTGTATCGGAAATTCTAAAGATAGGCTCATTTTAAAATTATTTTGCGACATTGCAGTTGAACTGAATTTTATGGTTTAAAGTGCGAAGAACATGATATTTAATAAATAAAAGTAATACACAAAACGTTAAAAAAAAACGCCCCTTTGAAAGTAATGTAAAATCTGAAAGCTTTCAGATTTATTTATTTATTTATTTATTTTTTTAATGAAGCTTGATTTTTGCTTAGTTTCAAAGGAGTTCATTTCTTTTCTCTTTCCTTCATTAATATTTCTTTTTTTCATTTCATTTTCAAACTGCATATGACCTGTATGTTCATTGCAAAGATACTTCCTGTCATGATCAATTTATTTTCAACTAAATTTTGTTAAAAAAATTAAGTTATCTTTTGCGTAGTGAAACTTGGAAACTTCGATCAAGCAAGGTAAAACATGGACAGATAATTAAAGAGAAACAAGCTTTAGTCATTTCAGCTATACCACCATCCGCCTTTGGAAAACGATCTTGCAGTAAAACGTGGCCTAAAATGCAAACCGTTTTTTAAAAGGAACTGAATTAAATTATCGAATCGTCTTGTGTTTTTTAACATTTTAAATTTTAATTTATTTTAAATGTTTCTAAAGATTCCAGCTTATTTTATTCTTCAGAAGCTGTCGTCCTTCTTAATAACGAATTCATGGTTACTATAGCTACGGTTCTTTTGTATCTGTGCTGGAGAAATACTTATTCATATGTAGTTAACTAGTAATGTATTTAAAGATTTCATGTACAAATATCACGTTCAAAAAGAAAAAAAATAATTAAAATAACATTAGAAACGAACAACGTTTCACAATCTGCATTTCAACAAATACGAAGAAAGTATGGTCTGGGAAGAAAGGCGTGTGATATTCGCTTACCATCTGGAACTGAGAGCCTTTTCTTGTTGTTTGGCTTGAAAACGAGATGTAATATTTCTTCTTCGGATTGGCTGCTCTTGTCCTGAGGAAGGCTCAGCTCAAGAATTTCAGCTAAGTCATCTTCAACTTTAACAAATTCAATGATTTCGAAGCGAGGGATGCCAACATTGTGGGGGGGGAAACATTTTATCTCCAGAGCGCGAGACTGTGTATCGGAAATTCTAAAGATAGGCTCATTTTAAAATTAATTTTGCGACATTGCAGTTGAACTGAATTTTATGGTTTAAAGTGCGAAGAACATGATATTTAATAAATAAAAGTAATACACAAAACGTTAAAAAAAAACGCCCCTTTGAAAGTAATGTAAAATCTGAAAGCTTTCAGTTTTATTTATTTATTATTTTTTTTTTAATGAAGCTTGATTTTTGCTTAGTTTCAAAGGAGTTCATTTCTTTTCTCTTTCCTTCATTAATATTTCTTTTTTTCATTTCATTTTCAAACTGCATATGACCTGTATGTTCATTGCAAAGATACTTCCTGTCATGATCAATTTTATTTCAACTAAATTTTGTTAAAAAAATTAAGTTATCTTTTGCGTAGTGAAACTTGGAAACTTCGATCAAGCAAGGTAAAACATTGGACAGATAATTAAAGAGAAACAAGCTTTAGTCATTTCAGCTATACCACCATCCGCCTTTGGAAAACGATCTTGCAGTAAAAACGTGGCCTAAAATGCAAAACCGTTTTAAAAGGAACTGAATTAAATTATCGAATCGTCTTGTGTTTTTTAACATTTTAAATTTTTAATTTATTTTAAATGTTTCTAAAGATTCCAGCTTATTTTATTCTTCAGAAGCTGTCGTCCTTCTTAATAACGAATTCATGGTTACTATAGCTACGGTTCTTTTGTATCTGTGCTGGAGAAATACTTATTCATATGTAGTTAACTAGTAATGTATTTAAAGATTTCATGTACAAATATCACGTTCAAAAAGAAAAAAAAATAATTAAAATAACATTAGAAACGGACAACGTTTCACAATCTGCATTTCAACAAATACGAAGAAAGTATGGTCTGGGAAGAAAGGCGTGTGATATTCGCTTACCATCTGGAACTGAGAGCCTTTTCTTGTTGTTTGGCTTGAAAACGAGATGTAATATTTCTTCTTCGGATTGGCTGCTCTTGTCCTGAGGAAGGCTCAGCTCAAGAATTTCAGCTAAGTCATCTTCAACTTTAACAAATTCAATGATTTCGAAGCGAGGGATGCCAACATTGTGGGGGGGGGAAACATTTTTATCTCCAGAGCGCGAGACTGTGTATCGGAAATTCTAAAGATAGGCTCATTTTAAAATTATTTTGCGACATTGCAGTTGAACTGAATTTTATGGTTTAAAGTGCGAAGAACATGATATTTAATAAATAAAAGTAATACACAAAACGTTAAAAAAAAACGCCCCTTTGAAAGTAATGTAAAATCTGAAAGCTTTCAGATTTATTTATTTATTTTTTTAATGAAGCTTGATTTTTTGCTTAGTTTCAAAGGAGTTCATTTCTTTTCTCTTTCCTTCATTAATATTTCTTTTTTTCATTTCATTTTCAAACTGCATATGACCTGTATGTTCATTGCAAAGATACTTCCTGTCATGATCAATTTATTTTCAACTAAATTTTTGTTAAAAAAATTAAGTTATCTTTGCGTAGTGAAACTTGGAAACTTCGATCAAGCAAGGTAAAACATTGGACAGATAATTAAAGAGAAACAAGCTTTAGTCATTTCAGCTATACCACCATCCGCCTTTGGAAAACGATCTTGCAGTAAAAAACGTGGCCTAAAATGCAAAACCGTTTTAAAAGGAACTGAATTAATTATCGAATCGTCTTGTGTTTTTTAACATTTTAAATTTTTAATTTATTTTAAATGTTTCTAAAGATTCCAGCTTATTTTATTCTTCAGAAGCTGTCGTCCTTCTTAATAACGAATTCATGGTTACTATAGCTACGGTTCTTTTGTATCTGTGCTGGAGAAATACTTATTCATATGTAGTTAACTAGTAATGTATTTAAAGATTTCATGTACAAATATCACGTTCAAAAAGAAAAAAAATAATTAAAATAACATTAGAAACGAACAACGTTTCACAATCTGCATTTCAACAAATACGAAGAAAGTATGGTCTGGGAAGAAAGGCGTGTGATATTCGCTTACCATCTGGAACTGAGAGCCTTTTCTTGTTGTTTGGCTTGAAAACGAGATGTAATATTTCTTCTTCGGATTGGCTGCTCTTGTCCTGAGGAAGGCTCAGCTCAAGAATTTCAGCTAAGTCATCTTCAACAGGTTGAACTTGAACACTGCCATCTGGTAGTAGAAACATGCCCGACTGCAAAAGAGAACAGAAATGGGAACTACTCTGATATGCGCCCTCAAGCCGCCAAATTTCTCGCCAAATATTTTTGGCGAGAAACTTCATGCTGCCATATTACTATCTAAATTTTTTGTCTACATTTCGAACTTTAAGCCTAAAATGTCTCCAAAAACACGGTTTTCGCACATGCAAAAACTACGTTTTGAACACACGATTTAAGCTTAAAATCCGAAACAAAAACAAAAAATTTAGATAGCAAAAACGTAAAGTTTCTAACCAAAAATATTTGACAAGAATCCATGTACAAGCGACATGTTTTAACTTAAAAAAAAAACATCTACGAATGGCACACTGTAGGCAACGAACGAATCTACGAACTACGCACACCTCGCTTTAATAAATTAACATAACAACAATAAATTTCAAAGAATACCATGTACACAGCGTTCTGTTTCAACTTTAAAAAACATCTACGAATTGCACAATCTACACTAAAAACAAATCAAGAAAATAAATTTCAGACAATTCAAAAAACAACAATAAAAACAGAAATTCATACAAAAAACAATGAATATAACATTCTACAAAATAAAAACAATAAAATAAGATGCACTTACCATAATGAAAGCTTCTTTTAAAAGCAGAAATATCTTTCCCCCTATCTTCTCAGATACAGAGCATACAAAGTCCAAAATACATTCGTTAATTAAATTTCGCCAGTCACACAACGTCTGTGAAGAAAACTTCCACGATTTTGCTATATCACATGCCTTCCTACGATTCAAAATTTCGAAAGTAACAATAAAAACTTCCTCCAACGTTAACTTGCTACACAAGAACCAAGATCCAAACCTTAAACTCCGCTGACACCCACATACTTTATTAGCAACAATTTTACTGCAAACCCACACAAGTCTATCAGAAACACCATTTTTCGTCCGAGTTCTCATATCAGCTCCGCATTTCGGACACGTCAAACTCCGTTTTAAAAGTCCCGACTCCCACAGAAATTCCAAAAATACACTACGATCCCCATAAATACATCCGTGAACAAAAGACTCGTTAACAACTCCAACATCGTATCTTTTCATACTAAATTTACTCTGCACACAATCTAAAATACGCGGCTGAAACCTTCCCACCACGTCTTTCATCGCAACATAGGCCATTTCAAAAACACACGCGACACGAACCAACTAGCAATTAAACTACTCCACCAAAAGATTTTTCAACGTCGACATGGTTGCCATACAACACGCAATCGCGCCAAAAACCAGCGCAAAACACATATCGCCACATTTGGTGAAATTAGGGCGTTTATCAGAGTTGTACCCAGAAAGGAAATCAAAACAGCATTTTCTAAATCCTGTTTGCTTTACAAGAATAGTTAAATTCTACTACATTCTAGTTCTCTTAGGAAGGCTCCACCAGTTGCAGAGTGGTTAAAGCCGCTCAATACTGGGAATTCTACTCCGTTTCGAAACAGTCTGAATGGCTGATTTTCGTAGTTTTTCCCATGTGTAGCGTGAACACGAGTTAGTTTGCCTTAGAAAGCTTCTTATGAAGACATCCCTCCCTCTTAGGCAGGAAGGCCTCGTGTGCTTTGTATATTCAAACAATTTTACGAAAGTTTTAGTCGGTAATTTGGTCATCAGAATTTTCACAGTATAATTTTCAAATTTGTAATTTTTCTTCTATTAGACAGAATCATGTTTTTCTTTGTCAAATAAAAAATTTGGCATAAATTCGGAACTGATTATTTTTCTTGTCCAAATTTTACACCAAAAACCTAATTAATCATTTTCTAATATCAGATTCATCTGCTGTTACCCTCACTGGGAAACAAAAGTCCTTCCCGTAAGTATTTTCTGACTTTTGCAATTTGAGTTTGCAAACAGAACTTGAAGATCCAGAGCTAATAGACTTCAATCCTTTCTGTAAGATTTTGAAATCATGCATATTACCTGAATATTTGTACACGGGATCAGCAACTATGCCCGTATTCTTATCTCATGAATTCAACTGCAGTTTTGCCGAATTTAAAAGAAACTTTGCTCTTTTCTCCACGCTGCACAAAATAACAACGTTCTCTCACTAACTGAATGAAATGACACCATACGTCTCATAATACTTTGAAAGATGGCGATTTTCATGTCATGTATTTCTTTAAAAATGGCCATAACGAAATGGCCATCTTAGTTTCCGTATCTTGCATGGAGCAAGAAGCTGATATGACGTCCCGAAACTCGTATGCTTCCTTAGTTGTTGTCAAAGGTACAATGCGAAAAAAAAACACTATATATATTCAATAAAACAGAATAGCAGGTGCATAAGCACTTTTTATTATTATTATTTTAAATGCTCTTTGACTGCGAAAAAAAAGGAGAGTTCTGTATCTCCCGTTCTACTGGGCCGATTGACGAAATTCAACTTGCGTTTTCCATGTCTCCAAAGAGCGACTTAGGAATGTATTAGATTTATATATAGCTTTGTTCTAATATAGGTATTCTCTCACAGAATCGGACTTTTTCTGAAATGCCATGCCAATTTTCTACGACTTAAAAATGATGCCAAACTGCCAATTTTGCAAAAATCGCACGAGTAGTTTTTAAAAAATGAGCTCTCAAAATTTTAGCTCCTCCATGTTAATTGAATTTGGTATATATTCATTAATCTCTTTCTTTTTTATTAAACTTATTTGATTCTTCATTTCACATTTAGAAATTTAGGTTCATTCCAAATAAAATTCTCCCATTTTTCATGATTTATTTTTAAAATTTGTATTTTTAAATAATTTGTATAAATTTTTCGAAAAACATTTTTAATTATAATCTAAAAACTTTTTCCCCATTATCTTAAAGTAGATATATTTCTAAGCATACCTGCAAAAAATTAGGGTTTTTTATTCAAAATTTCCGAAGGTATACGTGAATTTATATATTTACGTGTTTTGAAATTTGGAGTATTTGTTGAAAGCGGAAATAACATCAAATGTGGTTTAGGCACTTTGGTAAAATTATTTGAAAGTAGGAACGAAGTGACTTTTTCCCCACTCATGCGCAATGTAAAAAGGGAAAAGAAAATAGATTGCCAGATATTTAGAAGTTCGCCAAGTAAATTAGTTTTGGCGCAAACTGAAAAACATGCGCCAAGATAAATTTTTGAATTTCTCCGTAAATTTAGCACCAGATTTTACAAAAATTTAATATTTAGACAAGTTGAGTGGTAGAATCGAAATATGCAAAAAAAACGAAAGAAAAAAAAAGAAAAGTTCCAGTTTTGTATCAAAATACTTATATTAGAACAACGCTATGTATAAATATAATATATATCCTATATGCTTTCGAGACATGAAAAAATTTGAATTTCGTCAATTGGCCCAATAGAACGGGACACATGGAACTGTCTTTTTCCCCCCTCGCAGTGTACATGAAAGAGCATTTAAAATACAAAAAAAAAAAAAAGTGCTTATTCACCTGCTATTCTATTGTATTGAATATATAGCTTGTTTCTTATGTAAACTATAAATGCTTTTTTGTGTAAAAATAAAATCGTTTGATCAGTTACCAAAATTTCAGGTTCTTAAAACCACTGTATTATACACTTTTCTGATTAATTCTTACACATAAAGGATTACCTGATGCTGAATTGGTATTTAGCTGCATATTTTTCATTTAAAATTTCAGCAGTTTAATTCCTTTGCGAAAAAGAAATTAATTTGAAATTATTATTTAATGTAATTGTCTAACTTATATGGTTTCGTTTAGTTTCATTAACCAGTTATGTTAATTTACTTTTTCCCATTTTCCTGCGAAAATGTAAATTCCTAGCTTGAATGCATTCAAATGAGACAGAACGAAGATAGTATTCAAAGGAAGGCTTCAGCAGCGTGTCCCGCCTGCTGAAGGCCACGTTGCTAATTTGATTCTCTTGTGGGCAGTATTCTGCGGCATTGCATTACTTTTGCCATTAGGCCTGTCAAGCTGACTTTAGATCAGAGCGAACTTGCGCATTTCTCTATGTGTACAGCAGTTGGGCTGACTTAACTACTTAGTTAAGTCAAATCTTCTATTCTATTGTAAAAACGTTGTTTAAGTGCCATTAGCCTAAAGAAGCCACCATTTGTTTACATTTGAAACTCTTGGTAGATTGCTGAATTAAGTCAGTTTCTGTACCAACTTCAGTGTCATTTTGCCAAGTGGAACCAAAAGTAAACCTTCCGTTTTGTGCACTGAGAAATCTGTCTTCCTGCCTGTTGGGCTTATTTTTGCGCAGAAAGTCAAACATAATTGGAAGAATTTTTTTAAATGGTTTTTAACTGCATTTGGAATTTTATGTGTTTCTGTATTTTACAATTCTTAATAAAGATGTTTTGGGCTTTTATGTATTTTGTCCTTAACGCGAAGTGAGAACTGAATTGATTGAATGCGAAATACATCTCTAATGAAATTCGAGAAAATAAGTTTAAATGAAATGCAGCAAAAAAATGTGTATAATTTAATAGGTCGTACAAGGAATTCATGTGGTGCACACATCAGAATTTTTTCCATACTAACGTGAATACAAACCAGTTTCCTTTAAAAGATTTTCATGAAGGCATTCCTCCTGGTAGGCAGATTGCCTTCCGTTGCATTGTCTTAATTAATCATCCAACTAATTTGGCAAATTCAAATAGCACGCCGAATAACGATTGTTGGAGATTAAGGCAACAAGAATAAGTGTTAAGAATATTACTCTGCTCCTCGTTGCCTTAAAAACTCGAATAAACAACTAATTTGTTATTGGTTATTTACTGCTTATTCGAATATTAACTCCAGAATTTTAAAATTCAAACGATAAAAAAAACTAAAACATTTATTTAACCTTATTGCTTACTGATATATAAAGTTGAGTTACCGTTCTAAGCGTCCTCTGCAGTTTGTATAGTCAAAGCTGAAAATTCTATAACAGAAATCTATAACGTTCACTCTATAAAATTACAGGTAAACAGATCACTACCTATTTAATTAGTTAGCTAAACCATAATAAATAACTAAAAGAAAAAAAGATAACTAAACTAAAGAAAATAACGTCATGTCTCTCGAAGTAACTACCATTTAGCGAAAGGTATTGTCCAAGCTAATTCCTGATGTTGACAGAGGAATTAAATGATAAGTGTATGTTCAAACTGGAACAATACTTTCGTTACTATATACTACAGAACCTGAAAGAACAGATGTAAACAGTTGTAAGCGTAGTGAAAAGAAAGGCTAAACAATAGAAAAGAATTACTATGATTTGGGAAAAATTCTTCAAACTTACATTAAAATCAAGTCTGTTCATTAAGAGCTTGTCTGAAAAAGAATATTACAGGGAAAAAAAATTTCAATATTTCCGGGAGCAAAACTGCATCTAACTACCATTTAACTACCTTTTAGTATTTTGTCAGAAATTTCAATGCATATGTCTAAAACACGTTTAGTGCAAATGCCTTCCAAAAAAATCTGTCTGTTCGAAAACAATTTTCAAAACCTATCCCTTCCTTTGTAAAAAGTAATAACTCATTAAATTAAGGAAAGAAAACTGCTAAAATTTAATTTGAAATGCGAGTTTTTTAGATTTGTGGGGAAGAAATCCATTTCATGACTCGTAATCCATTTAGAAAGACTATACTTACAAATCCCCTAGCTGCGCAGTTGCTCAAAGCTGCTCCTATGCTTCCATTATATCCCACATAATGACAGACGATTCCAGGCCCTTGAGGAAGCTCTTGTTCTTCATTATCTACAACTTTGATTGCCTTGAAGGATGGTGCAAGTAAAAGATTATTCCTTCGGAGCTGCAACTGGACAGCGTGACCGAAAATGGAATCTGTTTGAATTAGAATGTCTGTGGAAGGTTCTACTTCTGCAGGTTCAGTGGAAGAGCGCTTTTCTATAGGTGCCATGCTGGATCTTCGCATCCGAATGTTCACCAAATTGTATTCTGGAACTGAAAATGATATAAAAATGACTACTTTGACTTTATAACCAAAGTGCTATAGAAAAATGATTTTATTATGTATAAATTAATTTCAGTTAACATTAAGGAACTAAAATTTTCAATGCTACTTAAAAAATAACTCCTAGAATTTTTACAAACTCTTGGCATGATATAAGGTGTAGAAATGGAAAACAATCAGTATGTCATTTCAGAAAAAGTTTCATTTTGGTGTCAAAATATGTACGTTAAAACAATACTGTGGGAGGAAAATCTAAAAGGTAAGGCGATAAGTGTTCTCACGGATGCAATATTGATCCTGCTAAATCGAAGTTCCTGCATGGAGAGCAGAAAATGACCACAAAATTCGAATGCGCCGGGTTTTGCGTCAGCACGACGAAATATAATTGTAAGATGGCTAAGCTAAAGAAAACGAGGTCAAATGTTAAGTTTACAATCCTAATGACATGTCTCGTAAAAAATTTGGTTTGGGTGCTCTGAATTCAATAAAGGCAGATACAAGATGAGCAATTATCTGAATGACTAAGCTTTACACCGCAGGTTTGCCATGTTAAAGATCTGATTCAGGAAGGTCACTGCATTTGACTTCGCGATGTTTCTAAGCACCTCCCAAACAGGCTATCAGAAGATGTGTTCCGTTACGTTCCTAAAGAACTCACAGACGATTACGAAGCCGTTAGTATGCGTTTGTCTCTCATTCACTTAATGCTGTTTAATTTGGAAAACGTTCTCTTCTTGCACCGCATTGTTATAAGGGATGAAACGTGGAGACATCATGTGACACCTCAGACAAAGCCTGTTAACCATATTAAACACCTGTTGTTATGCCCTTTGATAGAATTCTAAACGACTCTATCCGCTGAGAAAGTTAGACAAATATGACGACAGTGGTTTGGAAACATCAGGGCATATTATTGGTTGATTGTCTCAAAAGTAAAGTGACTGTACACAGTGTCAGTTACTGTAGCACACTAGAACAGTTCCGCAAGCATTGTACAAGAAATGACAAGGACAACTCTCAAAAGGCATTGCATTACTGCGCGGCAACATCAAACCACACGCATGCATCAATGCACGTGATTTGTTATGGTGCTACAGCTGGAAGGTACTAGACTTCCTCCCTAGCCCCAGCACTAGTACCTAGTGATCTTTATTTCTTTTTATTTCTTTGTATCTTTAAAGAAATAGGCGATTCACAGCGAAACGGACATTTAGCAAGCTGTCACTGAGTGCGGTGACAGCTTGCTAAATATTTAATCCTTTTATTTTAATGAAAAATCTTTTTTCGCCTGCTAATCCTTTTATTTTAATGAAATTCATCCATATTGCTTCTAAGCCGGCATCGATGCTTTTGTGTACCTTTAGGAGAAATGTTTCAACAAGGATGGTGAGTATGTTGAAAAGATATTCACTAGTGCCTCAATGCTGCGTATCCCTATAACTGTTTGAAGAAAATATAGCCCGTTTCAAACATCTTTGTACCAGCCAATGCGTAGGTGGTCAGAGCGGTAAGCATCTTTGTGCCAGAGGTCGGCGCTAGTCCAGGCTATCATTGTCTCCGATTTTCCTTCAAGTTGTATGTGGATTAGTATGACTTTAAAATGAACAAAATGAAGTTTGAATTGAGTTCAAATGGGGAGGTAAGGTGCTTATTATTATGTGTGTTTACTATTGTGTGTGCAATGCAGCATCAAAAGTTAATACTCGAACAAGACATTTTTATGCGTATGACACGTAAAAACAGATTCCTGTAGAGATGTGAGTGGCCAATTCATAACAAAAAAACTCTGGCATTCTGGTTCCTCGTAAGTATACTGTCAGAAATCTTATTGTTAGATTAAAGGAAACTGAGTCATTTAACGACAAAATACGTAAAGGAAAAAGAAAAGAGTTTTAATGGAAGAGAAAATTGTTGAAATTGGAATCACTACAGCGTATTTCAACGAAATCTCTACGCTGTGTCTCCCAGGAAACAGATGTTTCGAAAGTCTCCTCCTACAGGGCTATTAAATTATTCCATTTGAAGCCCCAAAAAATGTGCGTAGTCCAAGAACCGCGAGACAACGTTAAATCATGTGAATTTTTGCACTTTGGGTTTTGCATAATATTTCTAATAATACAGTTGATCAACATTTAATATTTTTTGGACATGGCTTAGTTTAATTTGCATGATTATGTGTGTGCACAAAACTAAATGACAGTGCAGAAAATCCCCGACTCATTCATGAGATTCCCTTGCATGACCAAAACGTTGGTATGTAGTGTGCTGCAACTTCAAGACGAATAATAGGGCCCATAGTTTTTCAGGATATTGTAAATTTAGACAGATAACTCGCACTATTTTTGAACAATTGATCTATAATGAGAGACAATATGCATACAATATTCTGCCACATTCCATATTTCCAATAATTCTTTGCATAATTATAAGAGAGGTGTCTGACAATAGAATCATTTCGAAGGTTTTATGGCTTCTACGTTCCCTAGATCTGAGCGTATGTGACTATTTTCTGTGGAAAACCCTAAATAATACAATCTGTTGAAACAAGCTTCACACTATTGATGAACACAAAGACAAAATTCAAACAAATTCAAAACATTTTGGAAAAAGAGCTTTTGCGTTCGAATGCTGATTTTATGAAAAGATGCCAGCAATGCCTGCAAGTAAATAGTGTTGATATGCAAATAGTGATGGACTGCCGCCAATAGCGCGATAAACATTATGAACTAGAAACCCTGCAAATGAGTTAATTTTGTAACTCGGTTTTTCTTCACTTACTTTTTGTCACTCCTTTAGGAAAGGACAATGATATGATACTCTCTATAGTATACCTACCGAGGCCGTCTTTGTGTTGGCTGGGCTGCCTCCTCTCTCTCAATTTTATACGAATTTTATTATGAGAAATTTTTATTTAGAACTGGACGAGTGGAATTGAAAATGTATGAAGACTATTTAATTACAAAGAATGTTTTTGAAAATTTTAATATTCATTTAATACATCCTTCGAATAGATTTGGTTTTGTTTTTGATAAAAGTAATCCAACTGTTGATGTGTTTGATATTTATACAGATGGTTCTGGGGTCGGAGGGAGCATAGGGGCTGCCTTTGTTGTTTTTACTATGGAACTGAGGTGGATTATAGAATGTTTAAAGCTTGAACATACGTATATAATTCAGTTTTCCAGCAGAAAGTGAAGCGTTCAAACAAGCCTTATTATGGATTAAAAATACCTTGTTTATACCCACGTCTGTAAATATTTACACTGACTGCCTGTCACTTCTCCATGCGCTCTCCCGCCCAGACAATTTCAATCCATTAATTGTCGAAATTAAGAGTCATTTAGAAACTTTGAGTTCATATTTAAATATTAAGCTACATTGGGTTAAAGCCCATATAGGCTTTATTGGTAATGAGAGGACCGACAGCCTGGCCAAGCAGGCGGTCTCACACGTCAGTGCAATGGATATTGAAGTAACAGGTTCGAAGAGAATTGCAATTCGAAGTATGAAAAAATTTTACTTTAACAAATGGGAAATACAGTGGTTCTCTTCACCTAAAAACAAAGGATTTATGGAACTAATTAAAATCACAAATAAAATGAAATGTATGAACAATATTGATGCTAATCAGGTTTTAACTGAACATGGTAGGCTTCCGTTCTATTTCAACCGATTTAATCTGCAGGAAAATAAATTATGTAATAGTTGTCAGGTTGATGGTGATGCTAGGCATTTCGTGGTTGATTGTAGTTTAACAGTCCCTATTAGACAGATTTTTAACATTACTGATTTTAATGTAAGTGTCATTACTTTTAAAGTTTTTAAATCATATTCTATTGCTCTAATGAAGTTTATCAATGAAAATAGGGCGCTAGTCGGAATCTTCTGTTAAAATTGAATTTTGTATTTATATGAGTTTTAGATATCCTTGGTGTTCTATGTTGTGAATTTGTGTTTACGGACTTTTTTGTTTGTTTGTTGGTCTGTAATTTTGTGTTAGATGTGCTTATTTATTTTTGATTTAGTATTTTTGTTTGTTGTTTGGGGGTGGCTGGGTTCCTGGCTGCCCTCGTTTGTGGAGATACGGGGCCCCTTCTTTTGAGCTATGGGGACACTCGTGTCCAGGTGGGCTGAAGGTAGCCTCCAATTCTAACAATTCTTACTCTCTATTGTATAACTCTCTTCTTCAATATGTATTTGTGATATTAACAAATCTTAATCTATTTTCATTGTGTAAACAAAAATGTGTTATGTGATCTTGCAATTTCCGACTAAACTAATTTCCGACTTTGCAACCGTTTTTCGGATTACAAGTTAATTAGCTATCATCTCGCTTGAAACTGCGCTGGATACAAGGTAAGAGAAATGAATTTGCTTTCTACTTTTATTAATTTGTTGTGAAATTTCGAGGCTATAAAAATGTTTTACAACAAAAGATTTTGAGACTGAATTGAAAAGATCATAGCTTAATTAAATAATAATAAAGAAAAATACTGTAAAAGCTAAACTGTAGTTTCATATCAAAAAAGAAAATAATTTTTTTCGACGATACAAAAATGTTGAATTCAAGTCAAATGTACATTGAAAAACTCAATTCCAGCAATTACTGAACATGGAAATTCAAAATGCAAATACTACTAATAAAGGAGGATCTTTACTATGTAATCCAAGATGTTCCTCCAAGCCCTATTACAGAACAATGGAGTAAACGGGATCGGCAAAGTCGCGCGATGATAAATTTATTTATCGAAGACAGCCAAATAATTCATATTAAACATAAAACTACTGCAAAAGCCCCCTGGGAAAAACTCAGGCAGGTACACAAAAGATCTAATCTTTCAAGTAAACTATTTCTTTTGTGAAATCTTTACAGTCTGAAGCTTAAGGAACATGGAAATGTGCAAACACATATAAATACATTACTGGAGTTAGTCGATAAACTCAAAATATAAAAGACGAACACGTTTCGGCACTTTTGCTTTGTTCATTGCCTAGTTCTTACGATACGCTCATTACGGCTCTTGAAGCCAAAGCAGAATCGGAACTGAATCCAGAATTCTTAAAAGGGAAATATAGCCAACATATACGCCAATGGAAACAAATTACTACAAACCTAAAAGCTGAAGATGATCTTCTAGAGGATAATACAGAATATAGACAAGCAGTAAGGGCATTATTATATATTGCAACAATCAGCAGACGAGATATAGCATGCGCAGTCAATCTACTGAGTCAAAGAAACGAAAAACCTCGGAACGTAGATTGGAATGCTGTCAAGAAATTCATTCAATACTTGCATACAACTAAAGATTTTAAGTTGCTCTTTAACAAAATTCAAGAATCTATACTAACAACATATTCAGATGCAGATTAGGCAAATGAGAGAACAACAAGAAAATCCATCAGCGGATACATATTCAAAGTAGAAAATAACTGCATTTCATGGAGCAGCAAAAGGCAAAACTGCATTGCACTATCTTCAACTGAAGTAGAATATATTGCAGCAGCTAATACAGCACAAGAAGAAAAATGGCTGTTAAATTTTCTTAAAGATTTAGGACTAAAACAACGCACATTTTCAAAATTTTGAATTCCAATATATTTGATTTCAAACTAAATTTTTTATTCCCTTCAAATAAAAAGCTATAAATTCAACCTTGTTCGTTATTCAATGAACCTTACCTTTCTCATGTTCATCTACAGAGAAATATTTCTTTAGTTGGCTTTTGTTCAGGCGTGTGTGAAAATCAGGTTGTGGCTGTGGCTAGAAAGAAAAACAAAATTGGCATTACTATTAAAATGGTAAATATTTTAAAATTTAAGTACAGTGAATCAGAATGAATGAAAAAAACTTACGAAACTGTTTGCAAGGATTATGTGACTAAATAAAAAAAGAGGAATGAAGAATGCCGAATATGCCATTTTACACCTCCTTGAAATCTGAAAAGTTAACAAATATCTTTGTTACAGCAAATAAAAATATTTTAATTATTTATGCTAAATTTTCAGGGAAGACAATTTTTAAAATTCAATAATTCAGTCTTTCAGTATTTTGATTACTTAGACATTAAAGATTTTTTTGGAAGCAGGCAACATGAAAAATGAGCAAGCGCCTTCGCCGGGTATCGAACCACGGACCTCTGGAATACTGGCCCAGCGCGCAGAACCACTACACCACGAAGGCACGCTAGGAAGGCGAGACTATTACCTTATAACTTAATTTACCAGTACCGGTGTAATTCAGTTTAAGAGAACGGTAAAATGATGATTTCATCTTTTCCTGTTTGAAAGGAAATTTAGTGCGTGATATTGTTTACTAGCTTAAGTATTCGGCATTGCCTGAGCTTTGCAGAGTGAAGAGGCTTCATTTAGGCAAATGAGAGTACATTTTTTTCGAAATCTCAGCTAGACAGAGATTGTTCTCTTCCTTTGGTTCAATATGAATTGTACAAAATTTTACAGAGCTCGAATAAAATTATGGAACAGTGTAGAGCTAACTGACGCGATGTAATCGTTTTAATATGAAATGATACTTCTTTGGTTAATGGTCATGCATTTTTACTTCCTCCTACGAAGCAAAGGAATCACTGTAATCGGAAAAAAATCGAGTATCCTATTTCAGCCGAAATATCCATTTCGGCAGCTAACGAATCCATTTGGACAATTTCATTGCATGACAACTGTACGTACGAAAAGAAAAAAAAAAAAAAAAAAACTTTTTTTTTTCCAAAACAGTTTGTAAAATAAATTTAAAATAGATTCATAAGAGATTTTTCGTAAAGTCTGTGCATACGCATGTACGCATGTATCTATGTATGTGTGTATCGCGCATAACTCAAAAACGACCCTCCGTAGAATTTCGCATATGAAATTGCTATAACATCTAGTTGTGCGCCTCTTTTTTTATTCCAATCTGTAATACGAGACCTATATATTATGTATATGTAATGAAAACACATGTAGAGAAGTACTTATGTAAGAACACTAAGACATAAAAACGCAGAAGTACCGATTGTAAAGCACGTACTGAAAAAAATAAAAATATCATTAGAAAATTCTTGCATGAAGAACATGTTGTCCAGTTTTTTCTTATTTTTATTCACATCACATACAAAAACATATTAGACTAAAAACTCCAATCGCAATTAATCCGTGAAACAGAAAATAAACACCCTTTTAGTTCGGGCGCCAGTGTAGGTATTTGTTTGGAAGCAGGCAAGATGAAAAATTAGCAACGCCTTCGCCGGGAACTGAACCACGGACCTTTGAAATACCGGTCTAGCGTGTAGAACCACTACACCACGAAGGCACGCTAGGAAGGCGGGAGAAATAGCTTATAATGGGATTCCCAAATCAGTAATTCAGTGAGTTTAGATTTTGACGATAGTATAATAGGGTGTTTTTCATCCGTAGCTAAAGGAGTTTCCTCAAGCCTTCCTGTCACTCGCAATACATCTTCATAATCTAAAAATGAGTTTAAGCATAACAACTTAGAGTCTTTTTTTAAATGCTTGCCATTCTTCAAACAATTAATTTCCTCAGCGAAGTCCCTTTGAACAGCTTTTACCCAAAACTGTTTAGCACGATTATATTCTTCAGTAGTAAGAGGACCCATTGTCATAGTTTTCCTCGTAAGAACATCAACAAACCGCAATATCCAAAGAAATCGCCTTCAGTAGTTTGCGTAAGCAACTAAACTTATTAACGTCAATTATCGGTTTGGAAACAATTGCGGAAATAATTATACCAGAAGCTTTATATTCAGCTTCAATCTCCGGGTCTATTGAGTCATATTCAAATCTCTTCGACTGGGGCCAAGTATTCTCCGGATACATTAACCATTTTCGGCCCTGCCGCCACATTTTTTTCAAGTTCTAAATCTTTACTAGTTATCCTCTTGTTAACAAGTCCGTAGTATTATCTTTGCCTATACAGTGTCTCTCCACTGGGATCTGTAGATCCCAGTGGTCTTGAATTTCTAATACTCTGTTTGAAAGGAATTGCTTCCATTTACATGCCGTGCTTTTATCCAGTGTAGCACAATTGTTGAATCACTCCACAGAATAATCTTTTCTAAATTTCTAAAAAAGATTTTTACACTATTTAGTTAATCTTGCTTCAATTACTGCACCCATTAATTCTAGTTGGGGCAACGTCATTTTTTTAATTGGCGCAACTCGTGATTTGGAAATTATGATGCTAGTTTCAGAAGTGCCATACGATGTCTTGTACCTAAAGTATGCAACCGCTCCAAAAGCTTTTAATGAAGCATCAAAGAATATATGGATCTGTAAATCTTCTTCTCCCTTCAGATTTGTGCCGGGAAAATAATGTTGAGGAATTTTCAAATTTTGAAGTTCTTTAATTTCATTACACCATGCTTGCCATTTTTCTTTAATTTCTCCGGGAAACACCTAACGGTGGATCAAATATTTTTGCGGCTGTGTGTAGTACGTTTCTTTTAGTACATTCCTTAATATCCAACATGGATCCAACAATGACCTTAAGTCTAGACTTAATGTGTCTTCAATAGCATTCCAACTGAGTCCTAAAACTGTTAAATGTAAATCGGAATATTCATTTGTTTCGATTTATGAATTAGAATTCTTCCATAAATCTTTCAGTTCTTTAGAATTAGTGTCAAATTTTTTCATATTCATGTTTGTGTCCTTTAAAATCAAAACAGCATCACAAGATAAGTCATAAGCTTCTTGAACAGTAGAAGTTTCATGAAAAAGATCATCCACATAAATAGAACTATTCAAGATTTCATATGCGAGAGGGTGTGTATTCTTGTAAGCATTAATATGAGTTTTAATCGGGGCAGCCAAAATGTAATGAGAATAAGTGACACCAAATCAATGTCTATTAAAATGATACATGGTTATGGGTTGGGTTTTGTACAAGTTTTTATAATACAGGAAACATAAATAATTTCGGCCATCTCTCGTGACTTGAATTTGAAGGAATGCCCGTTCAGTATCTCCACACAGTCCAATTTTATGTTCTCTAAATTTCAAAATGATATCGAAAACTATTACAACTTCCTTGTATACTACTGGCATCATAAACTACCGTAGTTTCTCCATGTGAGCTTTTATCTATGTGGGTATATTTCTGTGTAGGCTTTTTTTTTTTTTTTTTTTTTTTTTTTTTTTTTTTTTTTTTCTGTGAGTATTTATACCTGTGAACATTATTCTGTGAGCATTTTTCCTGTGGGTTTTTTTCCTAGAACCATCTCGCATAACTCAAAAAGCATTAGTATATGAGACTGCTATAGCATCTAGTTACTCACCTCCTTTTTTTTTTTTTTTTTTTTTTTTTTTTATTTTATTACAGCCCACCAGCGGCCGAGCGGTAAAGTCGTTGAACATTAGGTAGTTCGGTCAGAGGTTCGAATTCCGCAAACAAGCTACCTGCATGGGCATTTTCGGGATTTTTCCCATGTGTTGCATGCATACGAGCCAGTTTCCCTTAAAAAGTCCTCAACGACGTCATATCTCGAGTCGTTTGCCGCAATCTAATGAACCAAACCAAACTTTCTTATTGTAATCGGCAACAGAAGAAGTGTATGTATATATTCACCTCACTTACATGGTTTAAAAGTTCTTAGCCGGCCTTTATTTTCGTAATCTTTGGTCGTAATCATATACTTCCAATTAAAGAAGTGTTTTAAATGCCTCAAATATTCGCGTTTTGGCAATTTCAAATTAAAAAAAAAAAAATAATAATAATTTTCGAAAAATAACGAAATCGAACTCTTAATGCAATCTCCCGGTTCTTATATTTGGGAAAGTTTTATACACGAGATGATAAAATAAAATCATAATAAGTTCGACTCCCGCACAATAAAAGTTGACCGGAATATTTAATTTCAAAATTAGCAAAGATTCCTGTCATTTTCAACTTGCCTCGTTGAATCTGTTAATAAAGTCAGAATCATTCGAGGAAATAAGTTTCAATGAAGTGCAGCAAAAAATGTGTATAATTTAATAAACCGTACAAGGAAGCTATGTGGTATTTACATCAGAATTTTTGAATAATAATTAAAGTAATATAGTAACTAAGCTGAGATAACACCATTTCAAATATATTTGAATCTTTTGCTATTAATATAGTCATTGACATTATAGTTGCAAATTTTAATTTTTTCAATATTATCAGTACACTGACTGTTCTGTTGTGAAACTGCTGAGGCGGGCGATAGATTCTGTTTCGGTTTATTTAATTATGGCAAAGCACTCAAGAGATATCTACCTTAGATGAGAGATGCCTTCGTGGAGGACGTGCTAAGGGAAGCTGGCTCTTATACACCTTACAAATGGGAAAAACCGCGAAAACGCCTTTGCAGCTAGCCCGTTCGCCGGGATTCTAAGTGAGGACCGAACTACCAGTATTCAGCTGCTAGTGGGCCGGCCAGGTGATATAAAAGGTACACAGCTGCACAATATTTAATTCGTCATAAATGCTGTTATTTCTTATATACCATGGAGCGTTTGAGTTTGAATCAGAATTTCATTAAGTTCGCAAAAAATATAAATTAAATTAAAAAACAAATTAAAAAGCAAAAATTGTACTTTTTGCTTTATAGCCTTTTTGCTTAAAATCGCCTTTTTGCTTAAAATCGCCTTTTTGTACAGTAGAAGGAACATATTTACAGACAAATACATACATACATACATATACGCATACATACAAATGCTTCTTTATTTAACAGCAGAAAGAAGACAAAGCTTTTAAATATTCCATTTTTAAAGACAAAAGGATCGTATTTTAAAGCCTATTCAGCGACGCCAAATTCCGTTTAAAATATTTCAGCCATTTCCAAAAAGCAGAAACAAGTAGAGACATAAAAAAAGGGAAAAGCATGCATATATGCACACATACATACATACATACGTACATACATACATACAGTCATACATACGCATATTCAATCATACATTCATACGAATTCTTCTTTATTTTACAACAGAAGTTAAAATTCCTTTAAACCTATGTTATGTTAGAAAAGGTGTGTATTGGTGTATTTTAATTATGGCAAAGCACACGAGGGCTATCTGCCTAAGGGGAGGGATGCCTTTCGTGGAGGACTTTCTAAGGGAAACTGGCTCGTATACACGTTACACATGGGGAAAACCACGAAAACGCCCATGCAGCCAGCCCGTTCGCGGGATTCGAACCTCGGACCGAACTACCAGTGTTCAGCGACTTTACCGCTCGGCCGCCTGGTGGGCCCTGTTAGAAAAGGAGAAGGGGAAAAATATGTGTGACATGGACGTACTCAGTTGATCAATGTTTGTTAATATTTGCCAAAGTTTAACAATGTTTCGAACTGATTTAATTTGTTAACTTTACTGCTCGATATCGCACAAAATTCGGGACAAGGTTTACAATATGCTGTAAAATAAAACAACCAAATAATAGATCCACTTTCGTTTAATCTTTATTTAATATTATTTATTTATTATTTAATGTTGTTTAATCTTATCTCTAATTATCAATTAATGTTATAGTTTCAACATGCATATACTACTTTAAAGGTGGGTTTATTCTTTACATTTTAATTTGTAGAGTCATAAGGTTATTTTGAAGCAGGTGACATAAAAAATAAGCAAATGCCCTCGCCGGGACTCGAACCTGGACCTCTCGAATACGTGCCGGATGTGCTACCCGTTATACCACGAAGGCAGGCTGGAGAGAGGGAGAAAATATGTTATTTACTCCCCCTTTTAAAGGGCAACTAGGGATTAGGGAACCCGATCGCCAAATCCCGGTGTAAAAGAATCATTATCCAACACATTTTTAAAGGCGCCACTATAGAGTCATTAGGTTTTCTCAATGTCAGGAAACTGAAGAAATGAGCTATGCCCTCCCCGGGTCTCGAACCTGGATCTTTCGAATACGCGCCGGCTGTGCTAATCGTTACACCACGAAGGCGTGCTGGAAGGAGGGAGAAAATACCTCATAAATTCTCCTAATTCTCATTCCCATGTAATTCACACCGTCTTTTATGCGAATGCGAGTTTTATGCATTCGTTTATTCGATTCGTTAGAGAATGGAAGGTTTATCAGTCTTTAAGTTTTTAATATTCCTTTTTTTAAATTAATAGGATCCTATTTTATAAGCAATTTAGCGAAATCAAATTCTTTTTAACGTGTTTCATCCATTTCTAAAGAGGAAAAACTGGTGGAGATATAAGAAAGGGACAAAAGCACAGGAGATTTTGGAACACAAACTAATTACTTACCCCGTTATTCAAACTGTGTGAGTGAAATTGGAGGACGGCACACGTGCTGGCACTGAGCAGGTGAGCTTAGAGCAAAAAATCTGAGAATCCCTCCTTAATATACAACACTTATCTTCTAAGGCGCGGCCCAGTAAGGACACATGCGGGCTGCATCTCATCTGTCTTGTGGTTTCAAGCCCCTTTCTCATTATCACCACCATGCTTCGGTCCTGGCCTGAGAGACAGCTAGAAATAATAGTGCAACACAAAACAAAAGGTCTCAAATGCCAAAGATCCTAAGATCATTCACTTTTTTTGACAACGAGTCGCTTAAAATAGTTGTTATAAAAAAGAAAACTGTACATAATTATTTTAATACGTACAGCTAATGTAATGTCGCAGATCCAACTAGTAATTAATAATAACTGAAATGAATCAGCATTTATTGCTGTTCAATCGCTTCGTCTGTTAATTAATAACACGATGAATTTGGAAGTAAAATTAAATAATATTACACTCCTTGCTGGGGAAAAAAACCGCCATCGCGTGGAAGTTAAAAATATTTTAGTTCTGGCAGTGGCGATACTTTTGTTAAATTTTTGTTGTTATTACTTCATATTTCAAGTCTCTAAGTTTATTGATTTACATTTGAAAGATAAGTATATTGCTTTTTATCAAGTGGCAACACAATTCTTTTACCTCGCTGAGTTTTGTAGTTAAACTTGAAACAAAACTTTCTTTGCCAAGTGGCAATATAAAGTTTTTAAATTGCTAAGTTTTTATTCAAAAACTCAAATTCACTCAAAATAGGAAATAAATCAAAAACAAGTTCTCAATTGGGGCTTCGAGGTGTACATATTCAGCTGGAATATTTACGTATGTGTAAAGATCGCCAATTATAAATAAAGGAAACAGAGTTATGCTTTTCCGGAATGGCAGCATCAGAATAAGAAGATGTTCTAAATATCTTATATAAAAATTTACTACGAGTTTTTTATTATTAAGATAGAGGAGTTACATGTTCGCGTTTCAAAAGACTAAATAAAATTTATTTATATATTATCAAATATGGTTTTTTTCACTTACAAGAAACGAGTTTTCACCTTATTGAAATAAAATGCGCGCAGCTGAAATCTCATCTCAATATGAAATGAATCATACTAGAAAGAAGAACGTTTTGCTCCTGTGTTTTCAAAATTACATGGCTCTAGGCACCGCCGTTTCCCCACAGTGCGTGGAACATACATACACACATGCATACGTACATTCATACAATAAAAATTCTTCATTATTTAATAACGCAGATAAGCGAGAATGTATGAATTTGAGGCATGTGTTTCTGAGTACCATTGCGTACTATTATCAGATCTTCAAAGTATTCCTGAAATAAAGTACAGTGTCTCACAAAAGTGATGGGACACTTGTGCTTTACAAAAGGAAACTGTAGTAAAATAAATTAAGAAAACATGTAAAAATTTTTGTGGGTATGTTTCATACTTAAATTTAGTAACAATTAATACATAACATACATTTCCTCAAAATATTAAAATATTAATTTAATAAAAATATAATTGTTTAGAACGCAGCAAAAAAATGGCTCACATAAGTGATGGGACACTTACTTTTCCATCAAATACTTATCCAAAAATTTTACTTTTTAAAAGGTTTTATTATTTTGTTGGACTTCCTTTTACTTTTAAAACATGATTTAATCCTCTTGGAATGGATTCGACTTTTTTTTTTTTTTTTTTTTTTTTTTTTCTGGAGTGATTTTACCCCATTCTTCTTGAAGGACCGATTTTAATTGTTGTTTTGAAGAAATGGTGTGTTTGCGAATTCTTGATTCCAATTCTTGCCGAATATTCTCTATGGGATTTAAGTTTGGAGATTGTGGTGGTGTTTTTATTATTTCAGGACAGTTATACAGCAGCCAGAGTCTAATGTTCAAAGCAGTGTGCTTGAGGTCATTGTCCTGGTAGAATTTAAAATCGTTATGAAGGTTCAATTTTCGTGCTGAAGATTTTAAAGTTTGATTTAAAATGTCAATATACTTGTACTGATCCATTATACTGTCAATAAAAACAAGATTACCAACTCCAGCGGACGACATACACCCCCATACCATAACTCCCCCTCCACCATGTTTTACTGTTGGCACCAAGTTCTGTTTACGAAATTCTTCCCTGGGTTTTCTGCACATCAAGATTCTACCGTCAGAACCAAATATATTAAATTTACTCTCATCAGCAAATATAACTTCATTCCAGTAATCAGAATTCTTATTTATGTTGGATTTTGCGAAAGCCAGTCTGAGTTTTCTATTCTTCTCACTCACGAAGAATTTTTTCCCGGCTGCTCTACCGTGATATCCAGCAGATCGAATTACTCTTCTAATAGTCTCAGGATTAACAATTACTCCATATAATGGTTGTAAATCAGCAGCAACTTTAGGAGCACTCATTCTTGGATTTTATTATATATATATATATATATATTTCGAACGATAATTCGCTTTATTCCATTGGATAGCTTTTGATGGTCGGCCAGGTCTTCTTTTATCCTGAATCATATGATTCTTTTTATATCGTTTAATGATCTTGAAAACAGTTGAATGACTCAAGTTAACTGTTTCAGCAGTTTTTCGCATAGATTTTCCACGTTCAATATGAAAATTAATAACTAATTTTCGAACTTCAGGTAAAGTTTCTTTTCGTTTAGCATTCATGGCTGCACAGAGCTAAAAAACACAAAAATTCCAAAACAAACTGGAGAGAAATACTGCAGACGGTTTTATAAATTATTGCCAATTGCTTTTGAGTAAAAATAAAAACCCCAAAATATATTTTTATTGTAGTACGAAGTAGTATCTAATGGTGTCCCATCATTTATGTGAGCCATTTTTTGCTCCGTTCTAAACAATTGTATTTTTATTAAATTAATATTTTAATATTTTGAGAAAATGTATGTTATGTAATAATTGCTACTAAATTTAAGTATGAAACACACCCACAAAAAATGTTTACATGTTTTTTTTTAATTTATTTTATTATAGTTTCCTTTTGTAAAGCACAAGTGTCCCATTACTTTTGTGAGACACTGTATGTGACAAAATGATTAATGACATGGTTTTAATCAAATGTGCTAAAAATTAATTTTTTAGATATTATAATATTTTTGCTCACATGGGACTAAAAAAACGTTTGCGTGATTGCTAGTTTTGGTAGATCTTAAGTCAAAGTTTTCAAGAAGAAATTTAAAACAACTTTTCCTTTTAAGCTATTTTTCGAGAAGTGGCGCACATTAAACTTTCAAAAAATGTGGAAATTCCAAATTGTATGTTAATACTAAATTATCTCAATAAATGATTTCGCTGTGCTCTCACAAATATCACTTGTAACTGCAGTTGCATTTTCGTCTATTAACTTTAAAATCTGTTTGTTTGGTGAAGGAAGAAAATGAATTTTCTCCAAAGCGAACGAAAATTTGTGATTGAGCATTACTTTCCAAAGCATGAATTTGATTCCTGATGTCATTTTTCTAGCTCTCGTTGTTGGTGATTTCAACATCAAGCAACGTAATGCATCAAGCAACTTCGTCCAAATTTTGTGCGAATTGAGAAAACATGGTGTCTACTTTGCTTCGTATGGTGAACGCTTCCAGTTTTTTAAAATGAAATTATTAAGCGGAAAAATTATTGTCTTGCTAAGTCCAAGAACATTTGGGAAAGTTTCTTTAAATGCTAATGGTTTCTTAAAGCTAAGAGCATAAACAGATACTAAAAGTTTAAGTGTTTTTTTTTAATCCATGACTTGACCTGGAAATCGAACCTGCGCCCTTCGGTATGGCACACAGAAAAATGCCTGATGATTTGGAGTTCAACTTTACATTATTTTCATTAACATTAAAAACAAACGTGAGTAACGTCAGAGACAATCAACAATGGAATTAATCTACACTGTGATGTAAATCTTATTCAGAGATTTGAAGATACAGAACTGATGAACCATTTTTTCGTACAAACTTTTTTTTTTTTTTTTTTTTTTCAAAAATAAACAAACATCCTCAGTTACGAATTTTTCCAAAAAGAGTAATTGTTGCTTTGTTTGGGACTACATTTATATGTGGACACGTTTTACTTGTTCGTACGAAATAAATGAAGTATTATCATAGCGAAACATTTCGGGTCTTATATTTCAACGAAAATATAATCCTTTTGACAGCTCCCGAACCCATTTTGCCTATTTTTGCCCTCTTGACTTCTGTATACGGACAGAATGATAGACTCTCTCTCTTCTTTTTTTTTTTTTTTTTTTTTTTCAAAATGAATTGTAAAATGGATTCAAAATGGATTTTTTTCATAACATCCGTAATATATTGCATAACATCTTACCCGGCTTAAAAGTCCTTACCCGACCTTTATTTTAGCCACGGCTGATCGTAGTCACACACTTCCAATTGCAGAAATGTTTTAAATGTCATGAATATTCATGTGTTGCCAATTTCGGGTTTAAAAAAGACAAATAATAATTTTGAACAAGTAACGAAATCTCACTTTTAATCTTGTCTTCCAGTCCTATTACTTAGATTTGGAAAAATTTAATACACGTTATGAAAAAAAAAAAAAAGTTTGACCCCTCTGGGACAAAAATTTACTGGAATATTCAATTTCAAAATTTTCAGTTTCATATGTGATTTTGAACTTTCCTCAAGCGATTGGTTAATTAAGTTAAAATAATTCAAAGAAATAAGTTTAAATGAAGTGCAGCAAAAAATATGTATAGTTTAATAGGCCGTACAAGTCATATGGTATTCGCATCACATTTTGTTTCCGTAGTTGAAAAGGTATAAATATATCAGACTAGAGTATGAGCATCTACAATTCTTGAAAAAGATACTTTCTAGTAATTTTTGGGGGCTTCCAGGTGCACATGTTCAGATAGAAGACTACTGGCGTTCAAAATTTGGTGGCTATAGGTACTGCCGTTTTGCCGCAATACGAGGAATAATGAAACACGCACTATATGCAAATCCTTCATTATTTAATAGTAGATATGTATTGTACTTATTAATTGTAGTTATTCTTCATTATTTAATGAA